GCCATAGCTGCTGCCGCGAATTCCTGTGCATCTCGTATCCTATCCACGAATTTTTCAGCTCGTTTGGCTCGTGATGAAAGAGGCTCTCTTGGCTCGGACGACTTTAGCTGTACCGGCTCTGCGTGGTAACCGTGTTCCAGGAAAAACGGGCTCAAGGTTGTGGCCGCACTATCCCTATTATTGATCGCTAATTGTGCGGTAGGTAACATTGATGCCCATTCGATTTGTGAGAATGATATGAACGCCCGTAGGTACGCCAAAACCTCCTGGTTCATCCTCTCTGTCGCCCCATCGGTTTCCGGGTGGAACGCTGTAGACAAGCGTTGTTCGATTTTTGTCAGCTTGCATAAGTGTCTCCAGAAATCTCCGACCCAATTTGAACCCCTATCCGACGTTAAAGCGTGTGGGAATCCATGGAATCTATAATGACAAACTATGAAACGTTCCGCACATTCCTCAGCATTCATGGTTTGCATGGCTTCCAACGTGACGCTCTTAAGTAAGCGATCCGTGATTACCATGAGGTACTGAGGTTCCCCCTTGCTCTTCACTGGAAGGTCCGTCATGAAATCGATCGACAACTCGCTGTGGAAACGCTCCGGCACCGGTAAGGGCAACAGCAGTCCCTGCCTTCTAGAGCGCCACACCCTTGTTCTGCCACAAACATCACAGTTCTTGCAAAACCTCCTAACCATTTGGCTCATCCCTGGCCAGAAAAAGGATCGCGATAGGATAGCAATTGTGTTATTTCGTCCTGGGTGTCCCGTTACATGCGAGTCATGCGTTTTTTGAATAAGGGCCGTATGCAAGGGTTCCCAATTTGGTACCCACAGTCTTTTCCTAAAGCACAACGCTCCCCGCATGTCTAACTCACACTCCGCTCGTGCAACCTTTAGATGTAGGTGGGGTGCGAATTGTGTCTCGTTATTCCACATAGCTATATATAGCTCCTCCCTCATTGCTTTGTCTTTTGCAATTCCAGTGTCCCATAACGCCTGAAGTTCTTTCTCCTCGAACAACTGGTCACCCTGCGGGATCTGGTTTTTACCCATCCCATCTTCAACCTGTAAGTGCTGTAATTGTATTGCTCCTTTGTCTAGCAGATCCTCCCTCAGTAATGTGAATTCTCTTTCCTTTATTCTTGGGTCATCTTCCGATTTGGGCACATCCTGTGCCCTTCGTGATAGGGCGTCCGGCCGGCCACTTAGCTTACCTGCCCTGAAGTCCAGCCTAAAATTGAATTGAGATAGCAGCTGGGACCATCTTACCTGTCGTTCCGACAGCTTCCGGGTTGACATGAAGTATTTTAGGTTTTTATGATCCGTCAAGATGACAAACGGCTCTTTTAGACCTAGTAGTTCACTTCTCCACTCATTTAGGCATCTGATAATTGCTAGGAGCTCCTTATCATGGATGTCATAGTTGCACTCTGCCGGTGCCAACTTCTTCGAATAATAGGCTACGGGCTTGAATTGCCCACCTGGTTGGTGCTGTAGCAAGCACCCCCCCGTTGCCCAGCCGGATGCGTCTGTCTCTACTATGGTTTTTCGTTCCCCATCCCATAACGCTAACACTGGGGCTGTTATAAAAAGAGCCTTTAACTTATCGAATGCTTCTTGTTGGTCCCTTGCCCACTGGAAAGGCGTCCCCTTTTTGGTGAGCTGTTGTAATGGAGCTGAAATCTGCGCGAAATTTTCTATGAATCCCCGGTAAAAGTTAGCAAATCCCAAAAAGCTGCGAACACCTTTCACATTTGTTGGGGCTTCCCATGCCGCGATGGCCCGTATTTTCTCTGGATCAACCTTGACGCCTTCTGCTACGCTGATTATGAAACCCAGGTACTTGATCTCCTTTCTGGCAAATTCACATTTTAGGGGGTCCAGCTTGAGCCCCGCCTTGTTTAGTCGCTCCAGCACCTGGTTCACTTTTTTCCAATGATCTTTCAGATCCCCAGTAGAGAAAATTACGACATCATCGACATACGCCGAGCATGTGTCCCCTAACAATTCTCCCAGCACTTGATTTATCCACCTCTGGAATGCCGATGGTGCCCCAGCTAAGCCAAACGGTGTAACCAGCCACTCAAACGACCCGAATCTCGTTCTGAAAGCCGTTTTCCACTCATCTCCCTCAGCGACTCTCAGTCTATGAAACGCTGACCTTACGTCTACCTTTGTTAGCCATTTTGCTCCAGATAGCATTTGCATAGTCTCTCGGATAAGGGGTAGGGGGTAGCGGTCGCGTTCCGACACTGCATTCAGGGCCCTATAATCAACGCAGAACCTTAGGCCTCCTCCTGGCTTCTTGATGAACAGCACTGGTGCCCCTCCGGGCGAGCTACTCGCCCTTATCCAATTCTTATCCAATAGCTCGGTGAGTGTCTTTCGTAAAACCAGCAGTTCGTCCCTCGACATCCCGTACAGTGGTCCCCAGGGCACCCCCATTTCATGTCCCTGCTGGTCCTTGAGCATTCGTACCCTTGTGTCCACCCCTGGTCGCAATGGAGGTAGTGAGCTCCCGCCGTCAATACCATCTTCCACAAACAGGTCCGTGAAATGCCTGACTTCCTTAGGCAAACCATCCCTGACCGTACTTCTGGAAGTTTTTCTTTTTGGCTCCAATGCCTTCGTAATGTCATGCATCGAAATAGCTCCGACTAGTTTGCATACCGTGTTTGGCGCTTTCCTCGACTCGTAATTGTATATTTCCGCCAACTCCAGATACGATATCTCCGCTTCGTTGCCCAACCTTGCTTTCCTTAGCGCATCCTGTACCTCCCGCGGTGCAAGTTCGTCGACCCAGCCACTAGACTTTACCGTCATTTGACTGTCCCCGTGGCCGATATGTAGATATTGTTCTCCTGCCACGTAGGTTACCTCGTTCCGTTCCATCCAGGCCTTGCCTAAAATAATTGGGTACGCCAAGTTGGGCATCACATATCCCCACAATTGTTCTTGACGTCCGTCGATATCTAATTTGTAACGCGCGATTTGACTGATCTTTGACTTAGATCCGTCGGCTAGTCGCAAGCTCGTCGAGACCCGCTCAACGAAAATGTTTTTTTCTGCGCACGAGGGCTTCATCAATCACTGATAGACACAAACATCCCGTATCAATCATAGCTTTAACGAAAAAAGAAGAATTTACTAAACTGTCCACTAATAATGGCTGCGAGACAGATCCCTGTAAACACCCCAGTTCCTTTGGTGAAGCCCCGTTCCTCCCCCTGAGAGCGACTATCCTCAGGGGTAGTCGTTTTCCGAATCTCTTCCTTCCGGCTTTTCGTCCACTTCCGTCACTGCATTAACCCCCGACCTTGGTGCCAGCGCTCTACGAAATTTAGGGCAGTTGGTCGCCCTATGTCCCCCCTGGGTACAACGAAGGCAGACCCCTTCCCTTATTAGTCGGCGTACTTCGTCTTGCGATCGCCACGGAGCCCTCGGTAAGGGCCTCTCATCCTGAGTCTCTCTCGCTCCGCGCTCAAGCCTGCCATTTCGATTGTTCCTAGGCATAATTGCCGATGTCTCTGTGTTCTGGCCCGACCCTCCCCTGGCTGCTAAGATCGCATTTGTCCCGGTCATTCTGATATCACCTTCCGAGTCCACTGTCTGTTGCCTTGGAAATATCTGTCCCACCCCGCTCTTTGGCGCCCCGAGCTTTGTCACTGTCTGGGTCGCCCCTTTTGGCGCATAATCGGCCAATCCTTCCAGATCCATCGCCACTTCTTTAACCGCCTCCACCCAGTCGTCATACCTTGCGGGAGGAGGCAGCTTTACTCCAACCAAAGCCGTGCGCAGCTTGTTGTTGAGGGCCGCTTTCAGATTCATAGTTTTGCCCAGCTGCGTGAAGGCCTCATCCCCTCCGCTCTGAGCCACTCGGTACTCGAAATCCAGCAAAAAATTCTCCAGGAGCTGATTTTCCCCCTGTTCCATCCGGTTGACATGCTCCAGGGCCGCTTGCCTGGCCTGTCTGTCCGAGAATGTTTCCTTTAGATGCTGGACCAGTTCCCTCCAGCTGAACCTTCCATCCGCCCTCCTTTTTTCGAACCATGTCGACACCCTTGGTTTCGCTGATTCCGGCAGGGTCTCGATCACATCCAGGCAGATCGTCCGGTCGTCCAAAAAGGGGGCAAAGTCCGCCTCAATCCTTGTTTCAAGCCTTCCAATGAAAAATAATTAATTCCTATTGAGTCAACGACTTTCGAGTACTTCCGAATTCCTTGGACCTTTTACATATTATTTTTCCTTCCAATGAAAAAGCCGAAATCCAGCTGCACCCTGTTCCATCTTGGCAGAGTTAATGAGCCAGACCTAAGGGGTTGGTCTGGTGGTTGCCGGGTGGACCGTGGATCGCCATACTGTACTTAGATTCTCTGTCTCCATAGAATGAAACGAATGCCCCCTTCCCACTTTTATTCAAGACAATTTACTGGTGACCTGCACAGGGGATTTTCCTCGGGTTGTTGTCATTGTCTACTTTGATCTTAACTATCTACCTACTTTATATCATCAGTATCGAGACGTCAGGTGGTGACTATTAGTAATCGTGTCGTGTGGATACGGTCTATTTATCGAAGCAGATCATCTCACGCGTTGAATGGGAGTCAACTGTTATTGGGAACTATCTCGAGTCCACAGGCTGAAAATTCATCCTGAAATTTAGTTGGCAGCTCGGTGGTCTATATACATATTACGACCTAGTTTTGTGCTGCTGGGTCGAAACGCGTCATCACAGTGCCTGTTAAAGAAACCCGTTTCGTTCAAGTGTTGACCCTCAAGTGTGAATCAATTACGAAGGCCCCATTATTAAGTTAACTTATCGGCCTAACATCTGTGATCTGGAATTGGTGTAGAAGAAGGTGGAAAAATAACAACAGAAGAATAAGGAAGATTACAAAGAAAAAAAAAAAAAAAAAAAAAAAAAAAAAAAAAACGGCTTTTGATTCTAGTGAATTGCGTGCTGAGTTGGAAAGAATCTGGATTGGTGAAGAGGAACTCGGAATGGCAAATCGAACACTCCCAAAGTTTGAACAGGCGGGAAGGTTTGTTGGAGAAGGAAACTCCGGAGCAAGGTGGCTGTCACGACTCGAATATGATTTCAGGACGGCGGGGCATACGACGGTCTCACCAGAAAATTTTTTCTTCGCGATTGATATCCTTTTTGAAGACGAAGCGGCAGGATGGCTTGATTCAACTCCGGAATTAAGGGCCTTCATTGACGACCGGCAGAATTCGACAGATGAGCAGGTGGCTGAGTTTAAACAACAGCTAATTGAAATGTTCCCCGCCAAGTTGGTAAATCACGTCGAAGGGAACCTGCAGAATGATATCCAGGATTTTATGCAGAAGGAAGCTGAACCACTGACAGCATACTATCAGCGTGCGCTACACATTCTTCGTCGGTCACACGGAAGGGATGCCCCAAGGACAGCAGCTCTGGGCAGACCAATGATTCCTATTGAGCAAACAGTGCTCAACTCCATTATCCTTGCGTTCCTCAATGGGCTTCGTGAAGAAGATGTCAGGTGTGAAGCGCTTTCCAGGTCCGCGCTATCATGCGGTTCAATGTGGAGATGTCAAGAAATAATCCTTGGGGTTAAGCAAAGTCTAGATGCGGCTAAGGAAGCTAGAGAAAGAGCCGCTGAGAGGAACGAAATGGCGCAAATTCGAGATCTATGCTCATCTCATTACGGGAAATCCGTCTCATCTGTGCTTGCAGACTTAAGTTCTGGGAGGATAATGGTACCTAAGCCAAGGCAGGGCTTCAGCAATGAAGCCTCATATTATCAACCTCGGCCTCCGCATCATCAACAACAACAGTTTGGGAACGGGTTCAATCATGCCAATAAGGACTCACCTCCTGCCCATCAGACTCTTGGAGGAAACACCACTAATCGTCAGAGCACATATAATCCTGGGAACGTGTCTAAGAATGCGTTTGTTAATGGAGCTGCTATCTACAAGGCGAGTGATGGACCGTTGTGTTTTGGATGTGGCCATGTAGGGCATATTAAACCGAAATGTCAGAATCTGCAACTTCAGAACTGGGAGCAAATTCACCTCAAGAATTTAATATATGATCGCCCTCAACCTCCGAGAGAATCAAACTCGGTACACTACGGTCATAGATACGGTAGGTGGAAAGAGAGTCAAGATTTTCACCGTCCACTAAATCCTCACTCTGATTTGCACAATCTAAGTGAAAATTATTCCTCTAGATCTCGAGGAATGAATGGTAACTATATGGATGTCCCAGACCAACCTCAATTGAACTCCGCTTTTGGATATAGGCCAGAAAACTACGGTTCAAGTCAACACAGCCGGAATCACCCACCAGCAAGGACTGAGAGTCAGGAGACGCATAGAGATGAACCTGAGGGATCTTGGAGAGCGCCGCCCAAAGTTCATTTCGCGGATCAAAGAGATGCGGACTGTTCACTCAGTCAGTTTGCCGACATCGATATACCAGATGATCATTGGCAACACACTGAATCAAAGGCCTGCGAACTAGGCACACAGGTTCAATCATTCAGCTCTGGACCAGGTAGGAAGAGGCAACGAATCGATATAGAAGATATCCTTAGCAATAATTCGCCCAACGAGCCTGTCAATGAGGATGAAAATCCTGGAATATGTCGGCCTATAAAACCGGCAAGAAAAGGAAAGCGGATTCTAAAGCATTTGAGGGAGATAGTGGGCAGAGAGGGATGCGGCCCTATGGATTATGTGGAACTGGCGAGAAGAATATGTATACCTCTAAATCTTCTTGAGCTCTGGCAAGTGAGTCCAGATACGGCAAAGGAATTCCGAAGACTCTCAACGAGGATGAACAAGAAGAAAGGGAAGCAAGTGCCAGCACAATTTTTCTCAAGTGCGGCCGATAACGGTCTGGCTCGGTCGGTCCAGAAGAGCCAGGAAACAAAAGCTTTTCGAATTCCTGTTGTAGCGCGCGCAGAAGCAAACGGGAAAATAATAAAAGTTGCATTGCCAAAGCATATCTCGCAGGCAGACCAAGGATCAGAGATGAACATCATCTCGCAGGGCCTCGTTAAAGCTCTGAGGCTTGAAAAGATCAGCTTGGGCACCAAGGGGTTCAGTGGTCTTACGATGAACACAGCCGATGGCAGTGCAACGGAATTATCTCATTTTGTTAGTTTCGACATCGGCGTTTGCAGAATTTGGAGACGAATAGATGCGTTCGTGCGCCCAGTCGTGAAGAAGAATGGTGAACTTGATCTTCACTTACTTCTAGGAATACCTTGGTTACACGACGTTAATGCAGGGATTTTTATTCGCGACTCCAAAATAATTCTTGGAGATCCGAAATTGAATGAGGCGAAGGCCGCTATTGTAGGCCCAACGTTTATGTCTTCGAGTGGGCACAAACTTGTATTGTATCCCAGACAAGCCCTGGATGACGAGGGACATAGGGAAGAACCGAGCGAACCACGCGCGAAAGATATTGTAGAATCAGATACTGATACGACAGATGAATCTGACGATACTGACTCTGATTTTGATGATGAGCTCCCAAAAGTTGTTACGTCTTCGTCGTCGGAAAACTAGAGAGACCTAAACATGTCAGTAAACTGTACAAAAATGTCATACACAGTGAGGAAATTACGAAAGAGGATAGTGAAAACCCTTTTTGTCAACAACCTCAGGACTCTGATCTTCAATCTTGTGTCCAATTTTCTAATTTTCATTTTAATAAGAACGGTCATCCTAATGATCCGAATTCGTCACCTATATTGTCTTCCAACCGTGTCTTACTAGAGTCGATGTCATGTACGTTTGACGAGACCGCCTTTGAACCAAGTGACCAGAAAGCACCGCGGATATTAAAGAAGAACAGAGATCTACTAACTAAGCAGCTGATGAGCGTTATGGGAGTTTCTGATAGAAAACACTGCTTAACTGATGGTACAGTTAATGCCTTCAATTCCCAGAACGACTCCAATTCAAATGAACCGTCGACTAGACTAATTAGAGAAAGTTTTGACCTGGCCGGAACATTTCCGACATCCAGAAGACCCAGAAGCAGACCTTTAAGTAAGGCTCCGAAAGAAGAGATCGATGAATGGTTTGGGAAAGTAGGAGTAAAGATAGGTACAGCTGTAGGCGATGACTTTCAACGAGACATGGTGAAACGACTTCTATTCACTTACCGCGATATCAATGGAGTTGAGCTAGAGCAACTAGTCCCAACAGACCTCTATGTTCATAGAGTTAGGATCAGAGAGGGGACTAAACCATTTTCAAAAGTCAAGCAGAAAAGGTGGCCTCCAGGGAAGGAGTTTTGGCTTCAAAAAATTGTTAATGAGGGGCTATCGTGTGGAATGTTCGAAAAGACCATGGCAGCAAATGGAAAGTTGTCAGATTGGAACGCGCAGGCCGTCATAGTGGACAAGAGCGACAATCCCGGACCTTGGGATGAGCCGAGAATTACGTTTAACTACCAGAATGTGAAGGAAGACATGCCAGGATGCTACCTGGAATTGATGGCCAAAGTACACGACCATTTGTCTCACCCCTCACACAAATTTTTTCTGAAGTTTGATGTGAAACACGGCTATTGGAATATCCTCGTTCATCCCGAAGATCGACATTTTTTTGCATTCACCATAGCCGGCATTGGCCAAGTTCAGCCGACTCGGATGCCTCAAGGATCCATGAGCGCAGGATTCTCCTTCACGGAGCTAATGTACATTGTGCTTGGTGACATTCCACCTGGTCAAAATCAATTTCCGGGCATGAAGTCTGTACTGGTGCCCGAAGATAATAGTAGTCCTCCAAAAGCCTCATTCTACATTGATGACATGTTTTCCGGTTTTCAAAACTTCAAGGATGCCTATGATTTTATGGCGGATGAATTGTTTCCTCGACTAGAGTGGTCACGTCTCAAACTATCATTTAAAAAGATGGAGCTATTCAAGGAAGAAGTTGTGGCTCTAGGAACGCTTCATAAGAAGGGCGGCATTGTGTGTGTAACTCCTGAGAGACGAGACAAGATTCGGATATGGCCTACCCCGACAAATGCATCAGAGGTTCGTGCTTTTCTTGGGGCGATTAATATGACTCGACGATGGGTTAAAAACTTCGCTGAGATAAAGGTTCCATTTTCAAGACTTACCGGTAACGGTGACTGGCGGTGGGGAGAGGCAGAGCAAGTTTCCTTCCAATTACTACAGGAGAAATGCTCCGGTGCAATTGAAATGCATGGTTGGAACATCAAAGAGTCAACGGTCATGTACTCAGATGCGAGCAACTTTGGAGCTGGCTGTGCTGTAACCCAGTCAAGGATCATTGGGGGTAAACGAGCTGAAGTTCCGATCCTTTATGACGCTTTCACATTCACAAAATGTCAACGAAATTACGGGACGTATAAAAGAGAGCTGTGCGCTATCGTGGAATTCTGCAGGAAATATGATTATATGTTCAGGTCGCCGATTCAGGGGACAATCTTTACCGATCATCACCCGCTTACCTACTTCTTGAAATCATCTTGTCTTGATGGTATATATGCAAGGTGGGCAAGCGAACTTAGATTTCTGAACATTGAAATTGCGTGGATACCTGGGTCACGGAACCCAATCGCGGATGCTCTTTCTCGGACTATCTTCCCGGGTGAAATAGGAAAAACGAAGGAATTAACGGAATTTGGTGATCTGGTCAACGAGAATGGAGACCCTAAATGGATTTGGAAGGATGGTACAAATGGATACGAAACATTGCTGAAATCCATCGGTGAACCATTAAAAGAGGAGGATCTTAGGGCGTTGTTCCTGGGTGATATGGCTAGGAAGGATCTTGATTCGAAGATGGCAAGTATAAGCTTGCTTATAAAGGAATTGGGAGAGACAGTGCCTACGCATGTAGCATTTGAACTCCTGAATTCGCTGTCCGAAATATCCACAGGAGTCTACAAATCTTCCTGGGTTTCCGCAGGGGCGGAAGCTATGGGGGGGAGTAACTGTCTCATTTCTAACGTCTCAGACAGCCAAGTCCCATCCACAGTGCCTCAGTATAACAGTGCACCATGGGTCAAAAATGTGATAAGGACAAAAACCATTGCGCCTCACACGAGGTTCTCTGACTCAATATGGTATAAAGAGATCTCAATATATCTGAAGACGGGAATAGCTCCCAAGAAGATCCAAACGAAAGTCCACCAAGCGGCGTTCCTCAAGAAGGCGAGTAAGTATCAAGTACAGGGACCCGAAAGAGTACTCTATCTTGATGTTCAGGGAGTTCTTAAACGCTGCATAACCGAAAAGGAAGTCTCATCACTGTTGTTGCAAGCTCATGACAATGGGGGACACTTCGCCTCATCCATCACAATGCGCAAACTATCGAAGTATTATTGGCCTGCTATGGTTAAAGATGTTCGTGACTACATTGCAGGATGTCTGGTGTGTGCCAAACATGGAACAGCAGTGAGATCACAGAAAATGGCGCGAGTGTCAATAAGTACCCCGATGGAACTACTTGGAATCGATTTCATAGGCCCTTTTCCGAAGTTCGAGGGAGTAGAAGTGTATTACATCCTTGTGGTAGTGGACTATTTCTCCCGGTTCGTGTGGTCGCAAGCAACAAAATCTGACAACTCAGAATCTGTTATTTCTACACTGGAGCGAATTTTCTTGGAGAATGGAGTTCCCACAGGTATCTACTCGGATCCTGGCGCTCATTTTGGGAAGGACACACAGCGGTTTGCGGAATCCCGTGGAGTTATGTGGTGCACGTCACCTGTTGCAGCAAAGAAAGCTACTGGTATGGTAGAGAAAGCCGTCGACATTCTACAACGAGCCTTGAAGAAGAACGCTCGTGATCCATCGAGATGGCCAACGATCCTATCAAAATCCACGTTTGATGTAAACAGGAGGGACATACTACACCTTGGGTTTTCTCCCCACGAAATTCTTAAGGGCTTCGCACCTGATGGGAATCTCGAAGCTGTGTTTCCCTCAAACCATCGAGAGAGTCTGAAGTCATTATTGAGTACAGGAACGCCAGATGTGTTTCCTGAAGATGACGATGTGCATGGAGACCTAGTTATAGACTTTATCCTTAACCGTGAAGAGACGAGGCGAACTGCGCTGATCAGGTCAGATTCGCAAAAAGATCGTGCAAAAGACCGACATAATCTGGGCGTACGAGCTGGGCATGTCTATGTACCAGGGAGTCTAGTGATGTTATGGGACGCCAAAGCCGCTGGGAAAAAGCTCAGACCGGCATGGAGAGGGCCGTTTGTCGTTGTGGGTTATGGAGGTGACATGGAGCGCTCATTCATACTAAGACAGGTCGATGGGTCACGAATCCCAAGGCATTACTACGGAGACCATCTCAAGCCTTTTCGACTTCGAGAGGGCTATCTCATAACTCAAGAGGAGGAGGAGATTCCGGTCTATCAGAACCTTCGGTTAGGGAATGCGGCTTTTAAATTGCCAAAGTATGTCGAAAAGGTCCGTGGTGTTCATGACGCATGAGAAAGCTATTTACTGTTGTGGAGTCACCTTCTGGGAGTGCATGTCAGCACGATTGAGCCGTGAGGAGCTATGGCATTTTAGCAGGGACAAACGATCAACACTAAACGGAGCTCGTCATCACGAGATGCAGATGGACAGAGATGATATGGCGTTTCAGTAGCTAAGGGCACGTAGTCTTCGCGGGTGCTTCGTCCTGTGGGGGGGAGTAGTTAATGAGCCAGACCTAAGGGGTTGGTCTGGTGGTTGCCGGGTGGACCGTGGATCGCCATACTGTACTTAGATTCTCTGTCTCCTTAGAATGAAACGAATGCCCCCTTCCCACTTTTATTCAAGACAATTTACTGGCAGCACCGCGTCCCTTCTCATCGTTCTCGTTGGCTCCGTCGACCTGGGCACGGTTCCCTGTGCCTTCCTCTCGTTCAATAGTTCCCTGAGGCCAATAATGTCTTGCCGGGACAAACCTGCCAGCGGATTGTCGGTCGCATCCTCGTATCCCGTCCGAAAGCTTGACTGACCCTGCTCTTCTCGGTCCATGGCGAATGCTTCCTTCGATGAGTCGGTCGAGAGCGATAAGCTGTGATAGGATGACAACGAAGTGTGTGTAAATGATTCCTCTTCGTCTGGGACTCTGAAGGTCATGCAATTTTTTTTTTTTCTTTGCGATACGTCGAGGGAGGTAGAGAAGGAAGGAAAAATAATATGTAAAAGGTCCAAGGAATTCGGAAGTACTCGAAAGTCGTTGACTCAATAGGAATTAATTATTTTTCCTTGGGAAGCTAAACTACTGTATCGTATCCTGCCTTTTATGTCTTCCGCGTACGCTAGTGTTAACTCCCCCCTTTGGCCATATGAGAATACTCCTTTCTCCCGGCTATCTTCCTTAGCTCCCTGAGAATCATCCTTTCTCCTGGCTACCCTCCTTAGCACTATGAGAATCATCCTTTCTCCCGGCTATCTTCCTTAGCTCCCCTTTAGTCTATCCAGGGGCGTTGCTCTGCCACTACCTTACCTTAGAGACGGAGTGGTCCTAGTGACCAGTCCCAGTCCGGGCAAAGCCCGTCACAGGTACGATATGAAGGTGCAAGGCTAGAGCAACGATGAGATCTCGGACGGCATTTATATTTCGGAGTCAATGAGGATATCAAGGGCTCGGGCGCGTGGTGGCCGAGGCTGAGGAGGAAATCGCGCTACGGCGTGTATACAGCGGGTTTCTGGACGGTTAGGCTTGGTATGATTCAACACATAGGTGAAGTCTGAGGTGGGACGAGGTTTAAAGTGGGACGAGATTTATCTGTACTTCACGATAGTTAACCTGATCCGGCCTGGTCCCACTAGTGCTTAAGCTCCAGTAGGAGTGCGATGGGTGACATGTACCTAGCACGTAAATGAACAGAACGGATCGGACAGCCTCTAAGAACGCATCATGCGGTAGCTTCTGCAAGTTTTCCGGCTCATCAAACATCTGCGAGTAGCTTTAGTTTTACTGACTTTAAAGGAACAGGTTTTGTTATTTTTTGACCGATTGAGGGTTTTTAAGAGCGATTCCTATTCCTGTGAGAATGTAGAGGATTCGGGGAATTGGATATTCCACCTATGGCAAACTGTCCTTGGCCGATGGATCCTCAGAAGGCCACGATCAGTCTGCTTGGGGCTATGTGCTTCAAAGGGGAGGAGTTACCACCAAGGAGGAACGGGGTCGCCTAATTCGCATCAATCATGGTGCTGTGTAGAGATCTGACGCAGAAATAAGATGGGACCCAGGATATTCGAACACAGAAGGGAGCCTGGAGGTGGTTGAAGAGCCATGGCCGCACTAAAATTGCTTCCGGATAGCCAGAAACAACCTATTCATCTCAGTATTGCTCACCTTCGGCGTCTCATTTTAAGGCAAACACAAGAATAGATAGATAAATGGTGGTCAACTGCTTATCCAGCTCAATACCGAGACTTGGACCTGCAAACGCAACGAAGAAAACCCCCCAGGACTATCGCTGCTTCGGAGACTACTTTACGAACTCATTGCTGCGAGAATAGGGCATGGGGATTTTGCGGCGTATCACCGTCGCTTCAGGCACGAAGATGCAAACAGGGCTTGTCGCTGTGGGCTAGAAAAGACACCTACCCTTTTTACACGCTGTCGGAGATACAACACTTTGACGCGTAAACTTAGAGAAAACGTGAGCTCAGATACGTTTACTAGGCAACTCCTCGCACACCAAGGTTTAAAGAAGTTTAAAATCTTTGCGATGTTCGAGGGCTGCTTTGCTAGACTGAAAGCATACTAGTTCTCTGGTGATTGCAAGCACAGGATTTTGGGACAAATTCAAGGACTGCTACACTGGCGGAGGTGAGCTCTGGATGAAGAATGTTGACTCAACATCACTTATAATTCACTTTATACTTTTCTTTTTCACTGTATTATTTGCACCATGAGCTCATGATTTCTTGGCTTTAGAACTAGCGCAAACAAGCAGGACAAGCCTAATGGTCATATCTCGGCCGGCTTCACTGGCTCCATATCTGAATGGATGGAAGGTTTCGGCCTATGACTTGAGCCTAAATAAATAGTATCCTTGGCCTATGGTCAGAGTAGACCTAGATCTATTGTAACGCAATAAGATGGGATTGGATGATAATTATAACAAAACAAACTATATACGTATCACACACTTCACCATTATTTCAATCACACAGGCATGAAATATCCAGCCCCCTTTCCTTAAGCACACAAAAGCAGCTGAGGCTTATCTGGTTCAGTTATCCTCGGGTAGATCTGAAAATAAGGTTCCACACTTCTACTTAAAATATCTGTGACACTGATATCATCTGCGAGGATATATCTGGTCGCAACTTTATGGCAACTAAATTCCCATCGAAATCTTGGTTAGTTTGTGAAGATTAGAGCTACAGCCCTGTTTTGCATTCGATAATTCTCACCGCAGCAAATAGCAGGAGCAAAAATTCTGCGCCTCTGTGGTTAGTCAATATCGGCATTGCTAATGCATCGCCTCAACTACTCTCAGTCCTTTATCTTTTGACGGCCACGATATCTGGTATTCAGATCTTGCAAGGGGTTGAGTTAGACACTGAGGGTCAAATGAAAAATATAAAGTAAACTTGTATTGATTAAATCTCTGCTCCTCAACTCCTCTCCAGCAGTGATGCTACATACCCATCTGAAACTATTTCGAGGAGAGATTAGCTTCTCCTCGTTTCCCAAAATTACATATGAAATATATTACATGTATTGAAGATCAAAAGATCTCAAGTTAGAGCTTTGACTATCCTGAACATCCTGATCACCATATCCCTGGTGAGATATCAAAGCTCGAGTTAGTTAATCCGACAAGATGTGTCATCCCACTATCCAATGATTCTCATTACCATATTCAGTAGATTCCAAACTATTAGATGTTTGACAGGTTGACCTTTAAAATTGAACACTACAACTAATAAGTTAGTATACATTAAAACCCTTGTTCCTAGAGGCCTTCAATTTATTTTGACTATAGTTCACAGTACTGAGGCGTAAAATTAGAGAATTTTTCGAGGATTCGAGGAATACACAGTAAATAGTTGGAGTTTTTCATATAGTAAACCCCGAGGTATTGAAATAATTCATCCACGTGCAAAAAATATTGAAATTCTGATCGGGGCACTAATCAATTAGTAGAGAATATTTACTGAGGGAAGGACTACTTTTACCTCCACGGGGTTTCTCTTGAGTTTGCAGTGGCCACAACCAGCCTTTTGATTTGAATTTAGTAGGGCTTTTCCCGGTATGCATTGGATACTTAAAGTCTAGTTTGTTCTCTAGTTGATACTTGTGAGTCTTGATGACAATTTTTATGTTATTTATGATGTAATCGTGTTTAAACACTTCACCATAGCAGTCAATTTCTCTTTCGTTGTTTCCGGGAGCCACGAAGTGTTTTTTCAAGAACCCTGGGGTAGAATGAAATGGCGTAATGTTCGTCCATATGAGTGGACAGATATTATCTACGTTATCCTCGGTATGAAATACACTTAGAGAATGAAGACCATCTTGAAATGCGATAAAGTCCCTGCCACGTAAATCTAAATGAGTCATTAAAAGGTCAATAGCATTAGTAGAATAACCCTTACCGCCATTTTCAAAAACTATTCTGCTTATCAAAAGAGGCCATATTATGAAATTATGATAAATAGAGCCAATTTTGTTTCTCAACATTGGAAACATGCGTGGTTGTTGGAGTCCATGTTCCTGCAGCTCTGCGCGGGCTGCATTGTAGGATTTTTCAATGTACTCTAGCTCATAAATCTGATGGCCACATTTGTATCCAAGTAAAGCGTGTAAATTTGGGTTGAAATCAGCTGAAGCGGTGGAGTCCAAAATTTCACGACAAAGGCGGATGTCAGTGTCGTGGATCATTACAAGGCCGACCAAATTTCTTTCAATGTCAAAGATAACTCGGATATTTTCTACATTGTCTAGATAAAGCTGTCATCTACATGGATTCATTTACATATTTGGATCGTCGAACAAAAATGTCATCGAAAACGTACCTCTACCTGGTATATAGTGATCAATGGGAACAGGCCCGGCGAAAAGTGGTTTAGAAGTGCCACAGAAAATCCGAGTATCTTCAAAGTGCGATACTACACCACTGCCTGGTTTGCCGTTAAATAATCCAAACCAGGCTGTATTGATTTTTCGTGTAATGTGTTCATTGCTGAAATAATTGCCATCACAAACGTAGCCGCTGAATTCCGACTTCGGCTCACTGGCGAACGTAGCTGTCGGTGATGCTGAGCTGCCAGCTATTTGAAGATAAGTATGAAATAGCAAACCGAAATTTCTCAGTAATTGCTTTCGCATTGTGCGTCAACTAGGCTTAAGCGGCAATGAGCATGATTACAGAAGACACGAAGCAGTGGTAGAAGCACCCCTCTTATTTGAAGTAATCGCTGCGTCGAATCGTGTGGCCCTGGTGCTGCGACCAGACGTTACTTTTCTATCCAATGCCGCATATTGCCTTAAATTGTAAAATCTAGGATGCCTGACAGCTTTTTGTGCTTCCCCGATCATGATTGACTCATGCGTATCGCTTGTCTACAAATCAAGGCCTGGAAATATAGTTCCACATAACTGTAGCAATCTCCACCCAAGAAGAATGATATCAGCTTTACTGAAGGAGTCTGACGCATTTTCAGTCTCCCCAGTATCGCCGGCTATAAGTTAGTCTTAATTTAGCCAGGTTGAAATAATAGCATTCATAAGCTGTGGTTGTGATCCTTCTTGGATCAATGGTGGTCTCGGGAGGGGCGAAGACTGAACACCTGTCAGCGGTGTCCCCTGCGAATCTCCTAGTCTCACTGTAGAGTCTGCAGGGCTGATATTGGGTAAAACCTCTATGCATACTTCGCTGAGAATTCCCGATCGCACTCGTAGTCTGTATCGTCTTCATCTCTGCAAAACCCTCTGGCACCATTATCAGATCAGATGGTATAGTCGAAGCCCTACTCATGCCCATCCTTGATCATGGAAAAGCCATCCGATGAGTTTCCGGGGTGTACCCAGCACTGGATACAGCAATGGTGGATTAGATCAAGTTGGCCTCTAATATTACAAAGAAGGGAGATGTAATTGTATATCCGCACCTGTGTTGCTGGCCTCTATGGGGATCTACTGTACTGAATTTCTATCCATTATGGGTATTATATCAGCGAAATCTTTACGTAACAAAAGAGGCCAGAAGCACTCTACGAGGTGTGGCCTGGGTCAGAGAGGATCCCAACATGATATTCAAACACTCAGGTAGCACAATAAACATCGACCAACCAATTGATGTCTATATTTCATTTGGTGAACAGGGGCGCAAATATCTCACCCCAACAGGGAATTCAGTAGGGGTTTTGAAGGATCGGATTTTGAAGATAGCATCGGGGGTGGGTCTATCCGCGGCATACTATTCTGTTAGGTCGTGAGACCCGAGGGATAAATGCCAAGATGTGCCAATTTACTAAATAAACAATAAATACATTGAATACCAACCTCCGACTATTCCCTTCGAAGCTCTCAAAGAAATTGTCTGAAAGTAGTAACTTGGGCATATAAATCGAGCAGCACCAGGGTGCTGGAACATGAAACTGCTACTCTTCCGATAGAAATCTACTTGAAGCAACAAAGGGCTCAGTATATAGGCCGCTCAAATTCTCTACCAGTCCAAAAGACTATCCAACCAGTATGTAGTAAAATAAAGCTTCCCAGAAGAGGAAGGGAAGATATTAGAGCATACAATAGAAGGGCAGACCTTGCATACTGGAAAGAGATTTGCGGAGAGGAGAAATCCAAGGACTTACAAAAAGAAGCGGTAAGGGTTGCAGCGTACCTGGAATGGGCGAAATCTTGGTCCGCCATAAAGCGAACTCGACAGCCTAAAAGATTTGCTTCAGCAGATCCTAAAACTTGGGCAGCAGCAAAGTTCTACCAATGCCGCCATGCTAGACGTACTAAAATAAGCTTCCGGGAGTCACCATTTTCTCTCCACAAAAACCTGACGAGGGCCCAAAGTAGCTTAGCAATCCAAATTCGGAGCGAGCATATCGCGCTCAATTCTTATTTACACAGAAGAAAAGTACCCGGAGTTTATCACCCAAGTTGTCCGTATGGCTACCAATCACAAAATCCCAAGCACATGATCATTTCCTGCCCCAAGTGGTCAATCGGTAGAGGAGAAATCTGGAAACGAGCCAGAAATCGCTCCTTTGAAGCAGTGACCAACAATCCCAGCGATATGAAAAGAATCACACGATGGATTCTTAATCATGGTTTGATAGAACAATTCCGCATGACAAATGCAGCCGGAATGCTGCTCAGGAAACGAGACTGAACATGTACAAGGTTGGGTTCGATAGAAGGGACGTGATTGGTACACATCGACGGCGTTACAGTGTAACTCTGCTTCCTGAAGGATACATTGCAAACTCTAAGAATTAAATCAGAAAGCTTGGGGTTTTTCACCGAGAGGTTTCCTCCTTTATAAATATATAGATAGGTTTATAGCCACCTGTATGGGTCCATAGGGCGCCAAATCAGGATAATGAATACAAATCAAATCAAACCCCCGATTACTCTGAGTTGACTACTGCCACGTCATTCAACACATTCTCAAATCCACGTCTTAACCTGTTAATGAACTGCCTACCACATTAGTATCCCATACCGTCATGAGGGGGTTGGGACAAGTTGAGCTGGACTGGATAATGTTCACGTTGTTGAATTCATTAACCCTATCGCCCTTGAATGACTAGAGCCTCCCGGCTTCATTAATTTGTTGGATATTGGCGAATCTGACCAACCAGAAAGCTGACTCGAACGGTGTCAGTTACTGCGATATCTGGAGATGCAACGTGCCGGCGTCAAGGTGTCGAGTGAGAAACTGGCTTCACAATTGAGGTCTGAAATTAAGATGTATACAAATTTGACGATTGCAGCAGCCAGATACTCAAGAGGACCATAATCAAAAGAGGAAATCAAACAAATTTTGAAGCTTGTAATCTGGATAAGCCGTTTCCTCCGCTTTTTGCAATCATAAGAATCCATAAAGTAATCTCCGACTTGTCCTTGTACCAATAAACTCATCAGTTTATCTAAATTAACTTGTCCATGTCCTCAGAAAACTAATTCGGGAATTATACGTCAACGCTACCGTCAAAGACGAATTCTCCGCCGTCCAGTGGTGCCGGTGTGATCGCTCAGTATGCTAAGCATACATGGGAAAACCAAGGTGAACTGCATCCGAACTGAAGTCGCAAGCAAATGCAGGCACATCTAAGATCAGCACTTCCCATTATTCTAGACGGCATGATTAAGATGAGCTAAGCTACTATACAGCATTCTCGCTTTCTCGGGAAATTTCAGGTATTTCTGGCATTTCAATGCGACCCTCTGGAAAGAGTTGGAAGAAGGCTAGAATGGCAGAGAGTAAGTTTCCTTAGGTACCCAAAAGTCTGCAGCGCCCAGCTAGCCGGCCCTTTCAAGCGATTCAGAGGGGTCACTATGTCTTCGGATTTAGTCTTAATTTCGGTATTAGGAGAGCCTTGCACCCAGTGGTTTTTTGCGATTTTTCCCGGCTGCCATACACCCGCAAATGGCCATCGTTTTGTTGGCTGAAGTGGGGAGATAATGAAGGGCAAAGGGCTCCTCTTAGTGTATGATCGAATGAGGAGTTGTGAGGAGTAGTACTGTTTGAGAAGAACTGTATAGGAGGCATAAGAGAGGATGTATTACCGTCATAGGTATCTTTGACCTGTAGGCAGAGAGGACCTGTATGTCCGATGTATTCATAGACTGAGAAGTGATGAAATAATCAGTATCCAACTCGCGAGTGATTTTTTTTATTGTACTACTTGAGTCTTAGACTATCTAGCACATCAGGCTCCTCTCTGACCCAGGCCACATCTTGTATAGTGCTCCTTGCCTCTTTTGTTACTTATAAGATCATTGATATATTGCCCGTGATGAATAGCCATTCAGCTCAGTGTTTACTCGTAGAATTCGGCCACCTTTTTCACGAAACCTTCTACCCAAAAAAATGGTAGCAATGCAAGCTGCGTGCGTGATAAAAAGTCTCAAAAAAACCTGCAGCCCCAGCAAGGCGAGGCCTAGACACCGGGACGACATGAGGTGCGCATATTCATCTATATCTCCCTTCTTTGTAACAGTCGAGGCCGACTTGATCCAATCCACCATCTCCGTATCGGGTGCTGGGTACGCTCCGGAAACTCATCGGATGACTTCTCCTCCATGATCAAGGGTTGGTGATGAGAAGGGCTTCGACCCTAACATCTGATCTGATCATGGTTAGCTTCATGATAATAGTGTTATGGGGATGTGTTCACAGATGAAGACGATACAGACCGCGCAAGCGATTGGGAATCCTCGTCGAATTGGGGACTTTGCTACTCAATCTCGGCTCTACGGACTCTACAGTGAGAGCTGGAGATCCGTAGGGACACCACTGACAGGTGTTGAGAATAGTCCCCCAGTCGAACCTCTGTGAGCACCCACCAAAGGGAAGTTTGAATACTTTTAGTTATCCAAGAATACCTTTGTCACCCATCCATACCAGCATCACAAGAAATGTAGTTGTATTTTGCCGCATGCGAACCAGCGATCTCCTGTCTCAAGTGGGATATGCGTCAGCTATCCATACTTTACTTGGGAAACAGGCTATTACGATATACCACTGCGCTATTCAACCACGATGGTCTTTACATTATCGCACGCATTCTACCGGCTCAAGTTGATTAGCGCATATTGCTCAATATAAAACTCAATTTGCATAAGTCAAAACATTGCCACTTCCAAGATTGTATCTACCGTTAGCATTACCCTGCCTACCTACCCTTATATCCCCCACGTCAATCCCGAAGATCTGCCTCCCAAATTTGCGCGCTATGATTTGCATCCTCCAGTGGGTACAAATATCGGCATTTGCATGTATTTGGAGATCACTTATGGCCAGATATCAGACCAGGATTAGGACCCAATTACATCTGTATTCCCGACATTTTATTTCGTGATCCTTGTAAATTCCATTCATCTAAAATGCTAGTAATAATATCGTCGGAATAACTTGCCAAGCCGGTACCTGACACAATTTATGGCTGCCTCAGGATAAACCTAAGCATTTCGGGTAATTTTCAGCTAGTAAACACAGGGCATCCATGTAATAGACGTGGCGGACGGGTAATGAGTCGCATTAGGGTTGGATCTAGGCTACAACTTGTTTGGATTGTGTCTTATAATTGAAGAGAGCTATCACTAGAAATTATCATGATATGTCATGTATTAGATATATGAGCTGCGAGAAAAGAGACAGATAGATAGGAAGTTGTATCTTTTTATACACACCTCAATTGAATGCTCCTATGCGAACAATTCTTTCAGATACCTCTATTCTCAACCATTAAAGCTTCCGAAACAGCAATCAAGGTTCGATATAAGAGACTGATTGGATCTTGATTGGGATGAGAGTCATGAATCATTGCCTCTTGGGCCGACTTTCTCGCTATTGCAAAATTTGACTGACCTTCGCTCTGGGAGAATAATTTACTCACAGATTCGTAGGGGACACCGTGGGCAGTTTTCAGTCTTTGTCCTCCACTCGGTGGGCCCATCCAGGTGTCTCTGAAATATAATATTTACATGGATGGAATGGCCCCTACCCTTCCTGTTTGATATGTGGTTTTTATATTTGTCCTCCAAAAGGCGCAGTCATTGTGCAGTGCCATCTATTTGAACTAACCACAACTCAAATAGTACTACCGGTAGGAGCCATAAAGCAGGCATAGATCCTCTCCCGGCCCGTAGTTTGAAGGGATCTACATATCCTTATGTCGTCAAAAGCTCATTAGGAAAATAAGCATAACTACAACTTCTTTTCCGATGACCCCAAGAATCGTTCGTTTTATTTCCTGCCCTTGCCATCAATTCGGCTGCGTTTGACATATAGAATCGCATTTTCCAATGTCCTGTGCGTGATTCTTTTGATATAACAAGAGTTTTTTGTCACTGTCTCGAAGGATCGATCTTGAGCTTTTCTCCGGATCTCCCCTCCAACAGACGATTGAATGCAAGGCTTGATAATAAGTCTAGGGTTCTATGTTCGATTTTCACATTAACAGCTTGGGCTGTAGACCGGTAATAATTGTTTTGTGTTAAATTGAGATTTTAACCCAATTTTCCTGCTTCAAATTTGCATTGCTAGTCTGGTTAGGGCCTTTGTCGGCTTCCGTAAGTATTATTAAAAGTAGATTAAAATGTAAATAAAAATCAACATAATAATCAACCACAGCACAAGAGATACCTGGAAATTTTTTAGAACATATCTCCACAGTTGACGATGTACCTCGTAAGTGGAAATAACTGCGGCTGTAATGATCGATGTACCCAGCCCTCGCACTCTAGAGAAGCGATATGCATGAGTCAATCATGGTTGAGGAAGCTCCAATAGCTGCCAAGCATCTTCGGTATTGTAATTTAAGGCAATATGCGGTAGTTGATGGGAAAATAGCTTCTAGTCGCTGCACAAGGGCCACACGATTCGACGCCGCGATGGCTTCAAATAGAAAGGAATGCACCTATATTTTTCCAACACGTTCCTTTAATATGCTCCCCGCAGCGCAAGACCCGTCAACTGAAAATGCAAAATATTCTCCTGAGCAGTTTTTTTGTATTGCTTCACACGTATCTACACATCACTGGCGGCTCAGCATCGCCGACATCTAAGGATAAAAGCAAGTTGGGATTGAGTATTAATGATTTCGTTTGTAACGGAGACTACGTCAGTAGTTCAAAAGTGAAGCAAAGTATCGATACAGCTTGGAAAGCTCTATTCACCACCCAACCAAATGATGTTTATGTAAATCATGTAGAAGATACTCGGATATTCGGTAGCACATCGAAAACGCTGTTCTCCGGACCTGTTTCTATCCATAGTGATTCTGGTATACCAGATGAAGGTACGTTTCCGAAAACGTCTTCGCTCTCCAATGCGGCCATGCTTGTGAATGCACGTTTCTGATTCATCGAATTAGGTTACAAAACCATTATCCGGGTCGTCTTTGACTTTCGAAGAAACTTGGTCGGCATCATAACAATCCACAAAAATGGAGTGCGCCACTGCCGTGAAATTTTAGGCCTGTCAAACTCAGCCCCATTCGACGTCAATTTACATGATATTATGGGATATAAATGCGCCAATCAGGTCTTTGATTTTCAATACATTGCATCTTCGTATACTGCAGCTTGCAGTGAACTATTGAGTGGAACTGGACTACCAGGCGAATACCCAAAAATCAAAGACGGACCTGGCTTTCCCTACAATAAACTCTATGCGTGGCCTCTGTTGCCAGATAGCAAACTATATAATCATGGTGGTAAGATTCATAAGAATCAACTCAGATGAGCTTTTGATGACAGATAATTAGATGCCACTTACAACAAATTTATCGTCTTTAGTGACGGCATTGAGACTCTAAGTGTTTACTATACCGATAACTATCGTGAACACGTTTGTCCTGCTATATGGACGAACAAAACGCCAGTCCTTTCCACTCCAGATTTTTTGATGAAGCACTACAGAGCTCCTATTACCTCTGACAGTTTAATACACTGTCATGGTAAAAGCTTTGAGCCCCACTACATTGTTGATAACATACAATTTGCCAAATATGCTCATCAGTTTCTTAGCGAGCACAAATTAGACTTCATATTTCCAGCACCTATCGGCGACAAATCTACATCACCAGGACTAAGTAATTGGTTATGGCCGCTTCGTCTTCAAGAGGATTTCCATCAAGGTAAAGGTAGTTCATCCCCAAGATATTCACCTAACTAAACATATAGCGCGCCAACACAGTATCGAATACTTTTTACTCCTGAGCGGGTCCTTCGAATTTCTTGGCGTCTTCTCTTTCGAGCACGAAAATTATTCAAAGTGTTTTTCTGAAGCCTCAGACAACTTTTCCCATGATATGCCTCATAATTATTTGCCGCTATGACAATAAATTGGAATTTTCAGTTAAAAATTGTTTAATGCATACTGATTTATGAGGTGTAATATCCGATTATAAAGGACAACTCCTAGGGATACCAAAGCACTAGAAAAATGAGTCAATAATGAGTGGACAAGGCTTAGTTTTAGTGGTAATTCGGCGATGAAGAAATTGTCCAAATACCGAGACGCAGAATTTTAAGCTCATGCAAATTAATCCAACTGAAATCATAAAAGATTGAGTAGGTCTTTGGCTTAAGAATTTACAATCTATTTGTTCTAAATTTGGAATATAACTGCACTAAACCTGCGACCAGGCATGTCCCATGCAGATGCTAATTAATGCCAATGTTCTTTCTACAAACGAGATGATTCTGTTTCTGAGATCTTTGAGGAAGGGGCTGAAGTCAAAATTACTTGTCTGGTATCGTGGACCCAAGATATAGGACAGGAAATTCAAAGCTTGAATATCTAATTCAATAATGTTGAAAGGCATAAGAATGATTTGATTTTTCTTCTATAATTATCGCCCTCACTCAATCCATGACTGTGCAGGAGGTATGGGTCCGTTCTGCCTACTGGTCAAGGATACTAATGCCCCTAGTGGAATATCAGATACCCTGCCTATATAGTTTCCCATGGACAGGATTATGCCTTTATATTATTTCTTTCATCGTATATTTCTAGTAGTTTTTAACTATAATCATCTCCCATTTCGAACCAACTAAATGAAGGCCACTTTCGTGTGTATGGCAGGCGGGAAAAATGGTAGAAAATAATAATTATGGCGGTCTCTGAATACTCTTAAACTGAGTGGTCGGCTTTGAAATGTGGCAAGATATATTGGACTTTTTTCTACAATTTAAAGGTATTCAGCTATCTAGCATTGACACACGATCACTGCTAGATGTAAATATTGAATAACTCCTTTAGATTTATAAATACGCACACTCTAAAATTCATTCGCTAATACCACTGTGAGGTAAGTTCATTTACACAGAAGGTTGGAGCCTCATTCGTGGGTTAGTACAGAAGAGATGCCCAAACCTCTTAGTCATCCACGCACATATTTGACATCCATACAAACCAGTAGTGCGAGAAAAGTGGTCCAGTATCCCTGATTCTAAATTAGCCATCTCGTGCTTCAGTGGAATAGGCGTCTGATATTTCCAGGCTCTACTTGTGAGGTCGGCCTGTGTGATGTGCCACTGCACTTTACAACCATGGCCGTTCCATGGTGTCGTCTATACTTTCGCAATCGAAGACTTGTCGCGCGAGATTGTCTTTGATTAGAACAACTCCTTGCCGACACTCAAAACCTCACACCCGACTAGATTGTGTTGATCCGCAGCATCATCTTGCAAATCAGTCCTAACTTCCCTCACGCCCATGTCAGAGAACTGTCTCCTTATTTTTACGCCACGATTTATCTCATCCGGCGGATATAAACATCGGCGTGGGCGTGTATTTGGTGGCCAGCTGAGGCTAGAGAAAGTCAAAGAGGGGTATGGTCATGGAAACTAGAATGTAATAATTTAGATTTTTGGATTTTATGATATAGTTGGTGGGAAATGATGTCTTTGGGAGTGAGAGATCGACATGGTGGAGTATCTTGAATCATCGCCTTGTGGGCCAACTTGTTCGGTACTACGAAATCTGACAGAAATTGAGTCTGGGAGAATATTTCACTCCCAGGTTCTTACTGGGCACCGCGTACAAGTGTGCAGTCTTTGTCCTGCTCAAGAGTGGGATAGATCTGGTGAGGGGTGAAAGTTCTAATGTCCTTGTCTTGCATCCAATCAACAGCCACGGTGGAGGACGGGGCGCGTGATAACCCGGATCTAGATATACCGTCATTCATTGCAGCCTGCTAATGTGACGTACAATGAGACATAGATACGAATACGAAAAGGGGTGTAGAGTCTATGTCCAGCAGTATAAAGAGCTCCGGTCTGCGCATCGAGCTTATGTACTTACTATCTATCATCTTAATCATTACGTCCTCCTCAGGTGCTACAGCAATTAAATCCATATTCAAAGATTCATCATGCTTTCCCTCTACGATATTAGTGTACCCGTTTTCATTCGAAATCTTGAGATCCTTTCCACACTCTTACACAAGGCTTCCGCCTGCCCCGATGTTTCAGACGAAGTACTGGTCAAGAGCAAGTTGATTTCCGACATGGGCGACTTAATTTTCCAAAGTAAGCATAGATGACCCATTATACTGCACCATATAGAATACTCTTTGTCAAATTTCAAAGTGACAGTTATTATGCTGATGGTTATTTTCAGTCCATGTGATAACGGACTTGGCTTGTGGTATGGCAAGCAGTGCAGGCAAGATCGAGCTCACAGAAATGCCGAGAACTGAGACCAACATGAATGAATTACAAGATCGTATCCAGGCAACTATCAAGGCGCTGAAATCCGTCAAGCAAGAGGATTTCGTCGGCGAAGAGGAGGCTATTTCTTTCACGAAGGGGTAAGTGTATGAATAGTTATGTCTACTCTGTCCCGTGTAGACCATATCCGGCCCTGATTTGGTTGGGTGCGAGTCATCTTCCACAGAGCTCTGACCACAATCAGACGGAACATTCCCAGTAGCAATGTGGTGTCAAAGGCTAACAAAAGGCTGCAGTGATTTGGTAATTCCATTTGTCGGAAAAACTTACATCCAGGAATTTCAAATTCCGAATCATTACTTCCATTTCGTTACTGCCTACAACTTACTGCGCAAGGAGGGCATAGATATCGGAAAGAAGGACTACTTGGGCAAGTCATAATAGGCATCATATGCTGATGCAGAGGAGCTCGAGGCCCATGTTTGTGATTCGAAACAATTGCATTCTTCTCTATTGAGGGGCTACAAACTAGGGAACTTAGTCATGAGCAAACATTTATTGTTGGAAATTTCTGGCCTGCCAGTGTAATGGCCAAGTTTCATGTGGATGATAGACTATTGCAATCGAATCTCCTACTAATGATTGCGGCAACATGTGGCAAAGGCAAGTCTTTGTCAAATCAATTCTGAAGCTTAAAAAGCTCATGGCGCCAATGATACTAATGTTGCTGGCTACTGATCAGCACTGTTTACATTATCAATAAAACTTTTCAAATCAGAGCTCGCGCTTGCAATAAAAAGTACAAACTTCAAATATTTCCAACCAAGATCAGAGTTTGAGTGAATTACCCCGTATCTCTTTGCCACACAAATTTTAAACGACTCAAGGTATTGGCGCTTGGTTTGGTTTTTTATGTGTTACTTCATTCTTTGACCATCTAGAACATCGGGCCCCTTTCTGACTGAGGCCACACCTTGTACAGTGCTCCTATCCTCTTTTGTTACCTGTGAGATCATTGATATATTGCCCGTGATGAACAGCCATTCAGCTCAGTATTTACGCGTGGAATTCGACCAACTGTTCCACAGAACCTTCTACCCAAAAGCTTTTCTCGGGTTTATTTAGGTGTGCGCAACTATATAGTCATGACACACGAAAGGTGCTAGGAGTATATATTGGACGATAATCTTGACCCTGCTGACACTCATACTCTGGATTTTATATCCAAATAATACTGAGGTTTATTAGTTCACACAGAACTCTGGAGCCTCGTGCGTGGGTAAGCTCTGATGGGAATGTCTAGAACTTTTGCTTATCTAAACATGCCTTTGTCACCTACGTACACCAGCACCGCGAAAATGTGGGGTGATATCACCGATTAGAAGCAGCCACCTATCACAAGTGGGATAGTTGTCCAACACATTCAGACTCTACTTAGGACATCACCCTGAAAATACACCTCCGCACCATTATTATGATTGATATATGATTTTTTAATGTACACTTACGCTGGAGCAGCTAAGATAGTTTGTGGAGAGATATCTTCATTAATATGCAGAAGTGAGGTTTCTGTGATAATTGTTAAGTTCCAGATTGGGGGAAGCTCGTCCCTTATCCCCTAGCTTGTTCGCTTGTAGACCGATCACGTTACCAGTATGCAGCTCATCAAGGTGTGCAACCAACTGAGCAGCCATGCCATTTGTCCTATATCAACAACCCATCTCTTGTACTGCACACATTACAACATGTAATGGCGTTATGTTCTGCAGCGCTTAGCTGGCCGGCCTCTTCAAACACTTCAGAAGGATCACTATGTCTTCGGATTTAGTCCTAATGTCGGAATTAGGAGAGCTCCACACCCAGTGATTCTTGCGATTTTCCCCGGCTACTATATACCCGCAAATGGCTATCGTTTCGTTGGCTGGAGAGCGGAGATAATGAAGGGCAAAGGGCTCCTCTAAGTGTATGATCGAATGAGGACTTGTGAGGGGTGGTACTGTTTGAGGAGAGCTGTATGGGAGGTATAGGAGGGGATATACTACTGGCATAGGTATTCTTGGCCTGTAAGCAGAGAGGACCTGCATGTCTTACATAGTCACGGACTAAGACAGGACAATAAAATGAAATAATAATGATAATGTCGTTATGTGGAGACAGGATCTCCCTCATGCGCCATAATGCCATGCTGCCATAATAACTACCCATGCACCAGCTACTAGATCTACCATCCTACATAACTGAGCATAATAACCATCAAATATGACTGCTTTTGTTGTCCTATCCGCTCTCTGGTAAACGAAGTCGTGTAGCGCACAACCCACAATGCTCAATGTGAATTTCCCCAACCTATTCAAGCAGATATCCATGGCATCCTCGGCACAAGATATCCCAAGGAAACCGATTCTATCCCATGTACAATCAGCGAAGGAGAAGTCGACCAGGTTACCAGGTTTTAAGAGAGTTGTTGGCTATGCACAGCAAAGTGAAACTAGAATCTCACTATAGCTTACTACATATCGTAGCGTGCGTGGCGACTAATCTTAGGGAGACTCAGCCGAGTAAACTTGAGGAGTTATTTTCAGCTGACTTAACTAATGCCACATTCACATCATTCAACGAGGATGACCTGAAATTAGTTGGAAGGTCAATTCCTCTATGTTCCTCAGGCTAATAGTGCCATGTGAATGTAGAACTCTATTCCCCAAGAAATAAAACCAAGTTTGTTTTATTGATTTATCTTTTTAATCACAAATACACTTCGCCCGTCATAGGTCAGACTCCCGGATACCTAACGCAAGGAACTCGCCCAACGACAAGGCTCCCGGCCCGACTTGTTATTCCAAACTGAGATCTAAAGCATTTATGAGAGGATTAATGCAGATTTCTCGTCATCTAGTTCAATTCTTACCACGCGGTAGAATACCAACCAAAGGAGGAAACTTATCGTCAGATCGGAGCGACGGCGTGGGGGCTACCGCGGATCTAGAATAGAGTATGGGCTGGATGGTTCATAAAAGATGGCTGGTCTACTAAATGTCACTGAGAGGAAGTGAATGTTTAACATACAGCTAATGGTAATATCTAGAGGTACTAAAGATACGAGTGGAGACCAGTGGTAACTGAAGGCGCTGAAGTTTACCAGGGACAACCTAAAGATGTTGGTTACAACGGAAAACTAAGCGTGATGGACTCTGTGTCTATAGACCAAGTCATCCTAAACATACCTCATTTCCTTCGACTAGCTCATCAGAACATGGGCCTTATATTAGCACCAAGATAATACCCAGTACCGCCGGCAAAGAAGAATTCTTCACCTTCAATGGTGCCGGTGTAATCGCTCAGTATGCTCTGCATATTTGGGATAGCCAAGAAAATCGCATCCGAATTGAAGTTCTAAGCAAGACGAGCATATCCGCTATCGACGACTTCTCATAAATGTCAGTTTTGTGATTCTCGCGCGAGTCCTCTACCTCAATCTTACTACAATACCTCGCCTGGACGACCGATAAAGGCGTTACTACCATTGTAAAAAGGGGCTTCCCTCATTCATTACCGGCTATCACCCACTGCCAAACTTACGGGGTTACGTATACCTGTTAGGAGGAAATGAAATCTTTTTACAAAGTTGGGGCCTCGGTTTACGGGGGACTGTTACCGTCACGGGTTACACATCTTGAAGGAGAGCAGACGACTGGAGCATATGATGGGGATGAGATGAGATCTTTCATGGACATAGTAGGATTGAAAATTTCAAGGTATTTTCAACTTTGGAACTTTTGTGGATGGCAAGAGGACTTCTATGGTCAATTGGACTGCAGCATCCCCCAGTACCCCAGACAGCACGAGAGAAGTTAGGCTAAGCTACCACATAGCAATCACGCTCTCTCAAGACTTGTTGAAGGAAGATATGGTTAGAAAGCTATACTGCTGGTTAATTGCCTGAATGTCGGATCATTGTCAGTAGTTCATGATGTCATGTGGCTACATCATGTGACATACTTCCATTAAATCTTCCCGTAGCATTATTGAGAATAGGGAATACATAAGAAGAATTATTGACGACATACTGCTAGCAGTTACACAGTGGATACGCCTACCAACACTGAAGCTTATTTGGTATACTTACTATGCTAACTACTAAGTTCTACATTTACGATTATACAGGGCTTGTCCCTCACTGTCCATGAGAGCAAAGTGTAAAGTTGAACAGTTGGGACTCTAAATATGTAGCTAGTATCTTAATTGTAGATTCTAGGAGTCCTCAATAGTCTTTGACTCAGTTAGGACTATAATACAAATCTAATCTAATCTACATTTACGATACATTCTACAGACCCTAGTTTAGCCCAGCTTACAAATCAAGTCACATGTCTTCTAAGGCTCAGTGACTGATACTTCAATAAACCCCTTCAGTCTCTTATCCAGGACATGTCGACATACCTGGCAATGAAGCTGCTGACGCACTTGCTAAACAAGCATGCGCAGCCCAAACTCCCCCTATCTCCAACAGTCTCTGGAGCAAAGAGAGACATCATCACTCGATACAAAGCCTCTATATCCCTGTACTAGTCCCAAAACGCTCCTGAACGATACCAACAACTGGGAACCAACACCAATACTAGGAGCTCCTCAGAGCTCAAAAGCCTCAATAGCCTCAATAGCTACGCTCTTGGTCGCCTTCTTGCAGCCCGATCAGTTCACGGCGACTTTGCAGACTACCACCGCCGCTTTCAGCACTCGGACGCTATTCTGATCTGCGCTTGCGGGCTAGAAAAGTCTCCCGAGCACTTCCTCTTTTGTCGACTCAATCAGAGTCGGTCCTGCCTCCGTGGCAAAACTAGATATTCAACGCCGCGAATTCCCTGGATTCTAGGCTCTCCTGAAGCTGCCATAGCGTTTAGTAAATGGCTTCATGAAACATGCTTTTTTGAAGCATGCAATAACAACACTAACTAGTACTCCAAACTATAAACATTTGGCGTGTATTCGCTTGAGCTCAGATCGAAAGACTATTGGTCTAGGTGACGGATAGCCTTCCTGTTAATATATATAATCATCTATTAGCTGAAGTGCAAAATAAAAGTCTTAGTGGGGGAGTACTTTTGACTTTTTTCGATAGCTCGGGGTGCATGGCAGGCTAGCCTTGGCCCATTTCTTACATGTCGAGCTTAGTTAAAAGCGTCGGCACGTCGGGTAGTTTATATAGACTGAGTATGCCAACACAGGACCTTACGGTAGTTTTGTTTTGTTTTATTATTTTTTTCCTAAGCTAATGCTATTTTTTCCACAATGGGCCAAGGGCAGGTGGAGCAGGTAAGGATCATTGTATACAGGCCCAACTCATCTCAACCGCGTGAACTTCCACATAAATATCGGTGTTAACAGTAAAACTAAAATCATAAACAAAAAACAAAAACATAATCTAATTCAGAAGAAACCCA